ATATCCCTAGTTCCACATACTCTTCTGAATCCAGCTTGAATTTCTGGTATTTCCTTGTGAATGTACTGTAGCAACTATTTTTAAAATTATCTTCAGCAAAATTTTACTTAAGTGTGATGTTAATCATATTGTTCGATGATATCCGCATTTGGTTGGGTCACCTCTCTTTGGAATGGTCACAAATGTGGATTTCTTCCAGATTTCTTGGCATAGATGAGTGAATGCCTCCAATGCTGCATCAGTTTATTGTTCATAGAATCCTTCAATATTGACAATCAAGATTTGGATATTATTTTTAGCTCTTTCATCTTGAAAAATGCTAAGTGTGTTTTCCCCTTTTGGTTTTCAAACTCCAGGTCTTTGCACATTTCCTTATAATACTTGACTTTGTCTTCTCCAGTTGCCTTTTGAAAATTTCTGCTCATTTTCCCCATTTGCTTTAGTTTCTGTATGCTCAAGAGCAAGTTTCAGCGTCTTTTGACATCAATTTTTGCTTTTTCTTTCTCTCTTGTCTTCTCAATGACCTTTTAATTTCTTACTTTATGATGTTCTTGATGTCATACCACAAATTTTCTGGTTTTCAGTCATTAGCGTCTAATGCATCTGTTTTTGTGATCTTCTCTAAATTCAGGTGAAATATATTTAAGGTCACATTTTGGCTATTGTGAGCTTTTAAAAAATTTCTTCAGTTTCAGCTGGAACTCGCATATGAGTAATTGATGGTCTGTCCCACAGTCTTCCCTACTGCTGTTTTGGCTGATGCTACTGAGTTCTCCCCCATCTCTTCCCACAGATATAATCAATTTTATTCCTGTTTATTCCATCTGGTGAGGCCCATGTGTATATAGTCACTTTTCATGTTGCTTAAAAAATGATATTTGTAATAAATAAAATGATTCTTGCAAAATTCTATCTTGCAATCTCCAGCATTGTTTATATCACCAAAACCATATTTTCCAACTACTGATACTTCCTCTTTGTTTCCAACCTTTGCATTTCAATCACCAGTAATTATTGATGCATCTTGATTGTAAGTTTGAAGAATTTGATAAAATTCTTCAATTTCCTCATTTATGGCTGTAGTGGTTTTTATGTAAATTTGAGTAATAGTGGTATTGACTTGTTTTCCTTGTGGGTGTGTGTGGGTATTATCCTGTAACAGTGCCGCTAGAGGTTCTCAAATATGGATCAAGGCATTGTTATATACAATACTGGTGTGGCGCTGCAGGATAAACACTGGGCTGCTAACTATAAGGTTGGCAGTTCAAATCCACCAGTTGCTCCTTGGAACCCCTATACAGGGGCGCTATGAATCAGAACCAACTCAATAGCTCTTATCAACAGCACATGGAATAATTGAGTACTTACTGTCTAAGTGCTTATGGGAATTTATTCACTTAATCTATATAACAACCACATAAAGAAGGTACTATTTTTTTACCTCTTTTAAAAATGGACAAACTGAAGAACCCACTCACTGCTGTCAAGTGAATTCCTCTCATAGCCATTCGATAGGCCAGAGTAGAAATGTGCCATAGGTTTCCAAAGCTGTAATCTTTCTAGAAGCAAGCTGATACATCCTTTTCCCACAGAACAGCTGATGGATTTGAATTTCCAAATGGTTAGCAGTCAAATGAAGGACAGATAGTGTCCAGAAATGTTCAATTTGACCCAGCAATGAGATGACTTTACTTGGATTTGAACTCAGATAGAATATCTCCAGAAATCCTTAACTGTTATATTATTCAGTATGCATATGAATGAATGTGCCTGTCTGTGGGATGCAGACATATGGGTATATAACACATGTACATTTTGTACATATGTATTAGTGAATGCACTTAGTGCATGTGTTTATTCATAATAATTTGGATTCACAAAAAGCACACTTTCGTTTTACATATACTCACTTCAAATGTATTATGTGGTATAAGCAAATGTTCTGACTTATAATCCATTTCTACCAATTGCTTGTTTTCTGTTAATCATGTCAATATCACTTCATCTAATCTGAGCCCCCTTTATTATATGTAACACAAATTACTACTATGTCTTCTTTGCTGGTAGTTGTGAGAAAATTGTTTAGTGAACAGTTTAACCACAATGAAAATGATTAAAGAAATGTTACCTTGTAAAAATTATGATTTTTGAAATTAAAAAAATGCAAAGGTAAAGATTAGTTATTGTAGAAATGTGGATGCTGATGACAACAAAAAGCAAATCTGTCAATTACATTAACAATTACTCCGTGGTTAAATCAAAATATCCTAAATTTCAAAAGGATTAAATAATGGGCAGAGCCTAAAGGTCGGTAATTTAGCACTGATTAATACATAGATAAATATATATGATGTGGTTACTGTGGCTTGGACTAAAACCTTGTACAAATATAAGAGTTCAAGACCGGGACGTAGATTAAAGGTTGTTGTTGTTGAGTGTCGTCGAGTCGATTTCAATCCGTAGTGATCCTGTATAGGGTTTCCAAGGAGCAACTGGTGAGCTTGACCTGCCAATTTTGTGGCTCAAATCGACTTTGCAGTCCAGTGCATTAACCCACAATGCCAATATGAAAATGATGAAAGATTTTGATTGATGATTTCCACAGTGTTGGGTTTTGCCAGACACTACAAGGATAACATGATCTCTGGTTTATCAAGATATGCTAATAGAAAGATGGATTCCCAAATCTTGGAAGTCAAACACCCTCATCCTTCTGCTCCCTTCAGACAAATGTAGTTTAGATTTCTGGCTGATGACATTCCAAATAGAACAATACAAACTGTAGTACTCTTACCAAAACAGCAGGGAATCTTTTGTCGGGAATTGATAATTACTGGCTTGAGAGAAAACCAATGTCATAGAGTGATACTTGTGAGAGCTGAAACTTGAGGAGGCTGCCTTGTTTATCCAGGTCTCCCAAGATTTCTGCCTTTGACAGTGTGTAGTCTTATCACTTTTCTATATCTTTGTATTGCTGGAAAATATTTGAATTTTCCTTTTCTGAAAACACTGCACAGGGTCTAATTTTCACAGGCTGTATTATATTTGAGATATTTGAGGAGGGCTGGATTTAACTTACTTTATTTCGGAAAATAGAATATCACCAAAAGGCAGAATAGAGGTAGTCAGAGTAAAGCTATTTTTTCATTGCGTGTGACTTTATTAATTACTAATGGTGGAGTTCTGGTGTGGCACTGTAGGATAAGCATTGGACCATGGTGGTGGTTCAGACCCACCAGCTGCTCCTTGGAAACCTTATACAGGGTTGCCATGATTTGGAATTGACTAGATGACACTTAATGACAACAATAATGGGTGGTGAATATAATGTTATTACTACATCCTAGGTCTGAAGATACTTCCAGAAAGAAGTGAGCAAGTAATTGATATCAAAGTAATAAGTTGTATCATGGCAGCTACTAAAAAAAAGTCATCCAGCCCATTTAGACTCATGACAACTCCACGTGTTGCAGAGTAGAACTGCATTCCCTAAGGTTCCCAGGGCTATCATCATTGGGAAGCAAATCACTGGGCCTTTCATTTGTCTCTGGGTGAGTTTGAACAACTAGCCTTTCAGTTAGTAGCCAAGTGCTTAAACATTTGCACTACCCAGGGCTCCCATACCAATGAGTTACTGATTAGCATTGGGGCAGAATTAGAAGGGCTTCTAAAGAAGAGACAAAACTATGCTTGAACTTGAACATAGATATTCAGTTCAATAGGTGGACAGTCGGGGAAGCAAATTCTAAGGCCCCACTGGGAAATGACCACAAAGAAAAAAAATTAGTGTGAAAACGGCTTGTACTAAAAGATGCAAATGGATTGGTATGAATGTACCATGGGATCCATTTGGATATGAAGTTAATTAGAATATTTTTATGCTTAATTAATGACACAATTCAGAGATCTTTTGAATCAATTAAGAAATTTTAATTTTAACTTGCAGACAAACATAATATTCATTTAATAAAGTGCACTCTGATAAAGGGTGGCAGATGAGAACTATCAAAGGCAAAGAAATTAGTTACAGTGATGAAGTTTTCTCAGCAGTTCAACCTGATTGACTGGGTGTAGTGGAATCAGTTACAACTCATAGTGACCCTGTCATAGGGTTTGGGAGGCTGTAAATCTTTACGGGAGTGGAAAGCCTTCTCTTTCTCTCTCAAAACGACTGGTAAATTCAAACTGACTCTGTGGTTTTCAGCCCAACTCATAACCCACTACGCTACCAGAGCCTCTTGTAGTTCAGCTTAGATATAGCTATAATACAGTCTTCACATGGCTACCCCTCCTTGTCATATATATCTTGGCTCTAGGGTCTCATTTTTAAGAGCCCTCTTGGATTACTCAATTTAAATTAGTCAGTCTCCAGCACATATCCTAATTCTAATTATTTATTAAATGAGTATGCAGTTTCTGCTCTCCATCACTAAAACATGAACTCCCTATAGGGAGAGATATGGATTTTGGTTTATTGCTGAATTCCAGGACCAAATAGTTTTGTGCTCATTAATGGCTTGTTGAATGAACAGGTGAAGAAAGAAATAAAGTTACTGAACTTACTTGACTTCAGAAAATAGAATTCAAATAAAGTTGAATGAACAGGTGAAGAAAGAAATAAAGTTATTAACAGAAAAAGGGAGACATGGGTAGATGCAAAAGATGTCGGAAGACATTTATTTATTACAGTATTTCATGATTCATTAAAGCATGGGATGAAGAAAGAATTGATCTGATATCATTTTTCTTTTTTCATTTTATATTGGGTAACTAAGTATATTTTGGACGCATCTGCTGAGATAGTGCACATAGAAGAGGACTAGATCTGAAAAATGTATGAGAATAAGTGTAATTTCAGAACTTTTGAATTTTAGAAATGCAGGTAAGGCAGTGTGGGCCTTACCACCTCTCTGACTTAATCAGAGCTCTTTAAAAGTAATATAATTATTTGTCTCCATTATCTCTAGGAATCCTTCTGATGATTTTCTCTTTTTCAGGTCATGAACGTCAGTTGCTCCTTGTGGCAAGACAACAGCATGTCTGTCAAACGCTTTGCTTTTGCCAAATTCTCTGAAGTCACTGAACAGTGTTTCCTCCTGTTTACCCTCATCCTCCTCATGTTCTTAGCATCACTGACAGGAAATGCTCTCATAGCCCTTGCCATTTGGACCAACCCAGTCCTCCACACTCCCATGTACTTCTTCCTGGCCAATTTGTCTCTCTTGGAGATTGGCTACACTTGCTCTGTCATACCCAAGATGCTACAGAGTCTTGTGAGTGAGGCCCGAGGGATCTCTCGAGAGGGGTGTGCTACACAGATGTTTTTCTTTACATTATTTGCTATTAGTGAATGTTGCCTGTTGGCAGCCATGGCCTATGACCGCTATATGGCCATATGCTCCCCACTCCACTATGCCACACGAATGAGCCGTGGAGTTTGTGCCCATTTAGCAATGGTTTCTTGGGGAGTGGGATGCATGGTCGGTCTTGGCCAGACCAACTATATTTTCTCTTTGGACTTCTGTGGCCCCTGTGAGATAGACCACTTCTTCTGTGACCTCCCACCCATCTTAGCACTTGCTTGTGGAGATACGTCCCATAACGAGGCTGCGGTCTTTGTTGTGGCCATCCTTTGCATTTCCAGCCCATTTTTGCTGATCATTGCTTCTTATGGCAAAATTCTATCTGCAGTGCTGATCATGCCCTCACCTGAAGGTCGCCATAAAGCTCTCTCCACCTGTTCTTCCCACCTACTGGTAGTGACACTGTTCTATGGCTCTGGATCTGTCACCTACCTGAGGCCCAAAGCTAGCCATTCACCAGGAATAGACAAGCTCCTAGCCCTTTTCTATACAGTGGTGACATCCATGCTTAATCCCATCATCTATAGTTTACGGAACAAGGAAGTAAAGGCAGCCCTCCGGAGAACTCTGGGCAAGAAAAATGTTTGACTCAGGTAGATTTGTGACCACTGCATACTGCTGATTTTTGGAAAAGATGTACACACAGCTCAAGAGAAAGCCAATAAACTAATGAAATGCTGTGTACTCTTCTACCTGTCTTGTCAGGATCTTTTTTTAATAGCAGTAATTGTCATTTCAGAGACATCTCCATATTCAGAACTAAAGTTATGACTGTTAAATTCTGAAAGGAAGCTGGACACAAAAAATCTAAAAGATACGTCCAACACTAGACAGGTTTTCTAAAATATTTTTGTCTAGGCTCAGAGTATAAATTGCCAGGCTATATCTAAGAAAGTTGGCAGATCGTCACACAACACTACTAGGGATTTTGTCACCTCTGTGGGTGACTTCTGCCCTAAGTACAAGAGGGCATGTTGCCACATATATCTGTCCCACATGAATTTTTAATTCCCTAATAACTGCATGAAGTACATTATTACCCTCAATAAAAATATTTTAATAATTTGTTCAACTTTAATTATTGGTACATTATATACAGCCAGAAATATATTTCTGTGAGTGTGAAAAACATAAAAATATATAAACAAGAAAACAAAAAATAAACTCTTTTGCTCCAAAAGTATTTGCCTCAGAATATTAAAGGAAAAATATGAGAAATTTTAATCAAGAGCTCTTATGGTGAGAGTGCTTTGAAAGGAAAGAGAAATAATACTACTATTCAAAGATGGAAGAAGAAAACTGAACTAAAATGATTACATAAATGATATTCCATATTTTTGCTTAAAAATTTTGCATATGTGTAAATTAATCCCAATTGAATATATTTTGAGATCATTTAGATACTTTTTTTTTTTTTAAGAGAAATGAATATGGTTACAACATAATTTAGCTTTCAGTGGTATAACTGATTAACAGAGTCACCTTCTAAGTGAAATTGAGTCTCCCCAGACATGCCTCAGAAAAAGTTCTGAGGGTATGAAAAATCAGTCATCAAATTCTTTGGAGCACAGTTCTATTTTGACATACATAGGTCACTATGAGTTGGAACTGATTTGATGACAACTGGTTAGATTGCCTTGGATTTGAACATCTGGTTCTCAAGGAGATGTTGTGTTAACACTTGATCTGTGAGGCATTATTAAGCACACAAACAATAGTTGTAGTGTACCCAAGAGTAGGGTATTATAACTGCTACCATAATTTAATTTAAGTTTATCCAAAAGAAAGCAATTCAATTTTCTCTCATAGTGTGATATTTCTAGTTAGAATATTTCTTCATGTAATAGTAATGATACTCACTAATGACCAAGTCATGTTTTGTCTAATAGCCCTGTTTTACTATAAACTTTCCAATTTATTCTTCTGGAGACTATGAAGGAACTCTGGCAGTGTAATCGTTATGAGTCAGGCTCCTAACCTCAAAGTCAGCAGTTAAAAACTACTGTAAAGATTTACAGCCTTGGAAACCCTACTCAGGGTTGCCATGAGTCAGAACTGACTCCACAGCACACAACCACCACCACCAACATGGGTGGAGTACTTGTGTGGCGCTGTAAGATAAGCATTGGACTGCTAACTGCAAGTTTGACAGTTCAAACCCACCTGCTACTTTTTGGAAATCCTACATAGGGTCTCTATGAGTCGGAACTGACTTGATGACACTTAACAATGAGAACAACAACACTATAGTATTAACAATGGAAACAACTTCAATGTACAGACACAACTGACTGATTAATAATTAAGCTATTGTTACTGGCAGGAATTAGAGATGCTAATTTATAAGGATGTTTACTGGTCTAGAAAGACATGAATGATTTATTAAGCATTAAAGAAAGTTAAAAAATTATAGAATATGACACACTTTGATTTTTACAAGAACTTTATAAATAACATTGAATGATCAAAATGAAATGTTAACTATAGTTTTTCTAAGTAGTCATGTTATCAATGATTTTTTTTCTCACTTCTGTTTCTAATGTTTCTTCAATAAACATGTAGTTGATGTGTGATCCAAATAGTAAAGTACTGAATTGTGGACATTTTTTTTTTTTTATGGTTAAGTATAATATCTGTTTTAAGAGAAGATTCATACAATTCATAAAGTATAAAGATTAAAATTGAATTCACATATATTTGTACAGGAGCCCTGGTGGCACATTGGTCTGAATCTACCAGCCACTCTGCAGGAGAAAGATGAGGCAGTCTGCTCCAATAAAGATTTATCATCTTGGAAACCCTTTGGGGAAATTCTGCTCCTTCTATAGGGTCATTATGAGTCAGAATCTCACTGATAATAGTGAGCTCAGATTTGGGTTATATCTGTACAGCCAAATAATATCCATTGCAAATATTTGATTAAAAATTTCTCTTAGCTATTATCTTTCTACTAACCATGTTTATAGTTGTTTCTCATAATAAATTTTCTTACAAAAAAACACTGTTTGAAAACAGTTAAACATAAATAGCATCCAAAATGTACGTTTTAGAACCTTTTAATGTTTTGTGCATTTATATTAAAATTTATTGACTTACTCTAAATATTTCCTGTATCAAATATCCCTGAATTATTGCTGATAGTTTGAAATTGTTTAGTAACTTTGATTCTGATACTTTATACTATTTGGTTTCAAGGAGTTTTGGGTGCAAATTTTTCTCAACATCAACAATGACAACTGCAGTAAGGATGACTAAAGTGTGTCACCTAAGATATTTATTAATTGCTAATGAAGAGTTAAATATCTGACACCCTGAGGAAACCATTTTAAGAAAGTCATCACTGTCCATATATTAATGTCAGATACCTTCTGTTATGATGAACTGCAAAGGACAGAACATCACTTCTGTAGTATTCTTAAAAAAAAAAAAATTTTTTTTTAAATCTATATAACCTCAGTCTTATAATGAGAAAACAGACAGAAAAACCCTAATTAAGAGATGTTATATATAAACAACTAACCAATGTTCTCCAAAAGTATTGACCTATGAAAACCCCACATACATGGTGTAGGCCACATGTTAACTCACAAAGGCAGGTTCAATAAATAGAACGAGACTGAAACCATACAAAGTAATTTATTTGATGACAGTGGAATGAAACTAGAAATCACTAACAGAAAAAACAAATAAACAAACAAAACTATAAAATGCATAAACATGGAAATTAAACAGTACACTATCAAGTTACCAATAGGTCAAGGAAGAAATCACAATGAAATCAAAGTCAATACACTAAAACTTACAGATTGTAGCAAAGGCTACACTCAGAGGGAAGCATAGCAATAATACCTAAATACAACTGAGGAACCAGAAATAGAAGAGTAAACTAAGCTTAAATCTGCAAGAAGAAAGAAATATCAAAGGTAACATAAATAAATGAAATTGAAAACAGAGAAACAATAGAATCACCGATATCAGAAGTTGATTCTTTGAAAAGTTAGTAACATTGACAAAATTTTACTTAGAGTGACAGAAAAAAGAGAAAAAATATAAATAACCAAAAGAACACATGAAATGGGAGTCATTACAACTGACCCAGCAGAAATAGAAAGAATTATGATAGCTTAAATGGAAGAACCCATGGAAACAAATTGGTTAACCTAGATAAAATGGACAAACTCTTAGACAGATACAATGTCCTTTGTTGTTGTTTAGTGCAGTCGAGTCAGTTCTGACCCATAGCGACCCTGTATAGGGTTTTCATTGAGAAGCCGGTGAGCTTGAATCACCGACCTTGCAGTTCAAACAGCTTTGCAGTCTGGAGCATTAACCCACAGCACCACACCGGGACTCCTTAGAAGGATACAAACTGACTCATGAGAAAATAGAAAATCTCAACAGAGCCTTAACAAATGAAGAGATTGAATCAGTTATCAGAAACTGGCAAACAACAACAACAACAACAACAAAGTCCTGGACCATATGGCTTCACTTTTACCAATATTTAAAGAATTGACACCTATCCTACTTAAACTCTTTCAAAAGATAGAGTAGGATAGAATATTCCCTAATTCAGTCTATGGAGCATACATAACCTTTTAACAAAATCAGAGAAAGACACCCAGGAAAGAAACCCCAAGAAAGTAAAACTAAAGGTCAATATTTCTTATGAATATAGCTTCAAGAATCTTCAATGAAGTATCAGTGAACAAAATCCAACAGCATATTAAAAGAGTCATACACCTTGACCAAGATAATCCAGTTATTAGAAAAATAACCAATGCAAGACAATGCAATCATCAGTAGAGCAAAGGAAGAAAACAACACATGATCATCTTTATGTATGCAGAAAAGGCATTTGCTAAACTTCAACACCCTTTCTTGATGAAAATCCTCATGCTTGAACTAGAAGATTGAAAGATTTCCCCTTGAAGTTGAAAATAAGACAAGTGACTGATCTCATCAGTTCCATTCACTATTCTATTTGAAGTTCTAGCCATAGCAATAAAATAAGAAAAACAAATAAAAGATATTCATGTTGCAGAAAATGGAAGGAATACACAGAGTCACTGTACCAAAAGGAAATGGTTAATGTTCAACCATTTTAAAAGGTAGCATATGATCAAGAGCCAATGTTACTGAAGGAGGAAGTCCAAGGTGCATAGGCTGTTGAGTTATGGTGTTGGAGGAGACTATTGAAAGTACCATTTGTTGTTGTTGTTAAGTGCCGTCGAGTCGGTTCCGACCCATAGCGACCCTGTACAGGGTTTC